GGAAGGGACTGGGGAGGCAGCAATGGCAGGCATCTAAGGCCAAGGAGGGAGCCCTGGAGCAGGGACTGGGGAGGAGCAATGGCAGGCATGTAAGGCCAAGGATACCAAGTATATACAGTAGCTCCCTATCTTCCGACAAATAGAAATTAATCCAGGGGGGGGGACTCCTGGAGATAGTGGGATTCAATAGCACCAGTTCAGGGAAGGGACTGGGGAGGCAGCAATGGCAGGCGTCCAAGGTCAAGGATACCAAGTGTATATATCAATAATCCCCCTATCTTTCCAAATAAATATTAATCCAGGAAGGGTGAGTCCTGGAGACCTTTGGATTTATTAGTCCTAGTGAAAAATCAATATAATATTACCAAATTTTGATAATATTTCAGGGGTGGGGGAGACCTGAAGACCTGTGGATTTATTAGAACCAGGTCAAGGAAAGGGCAGTGGGCTAGAGACCATGGCAATGTTGAAACCATTTCAAACCTAACGTAATTGATTGATGGGAGGGGGAGGCCTGTCAATCCTTGGATGTATTGTCACAAAACTGGGACAAGTTCCACAACTTAAGCCAAAGTTCAATGATGACCTCTGAAAAGATACTTCCAAGCACATGCGGGCTCCCTGCAAAGTACCAGTCAGCCACCCTCTCGCGCATACAGCCGAGCTCTGTCTTTGAACCCTGATCCGAAGTGATGTCAACCCCAACGCACATCTGCCCATCCTCTTCCTCAACAGGCTGGTCTGGATTTGCTCGAAGTGCTGCTTGGTGGTCTGAGCTGTTCTCGTGTCTTTCCCTGGGCCGCCCATGGAATGACATATCAAATACAGTAACTATATAGTAATAAACAAAAAAAAATATATATATATACATATAAGATTATTTAAAGAGAATGTAGTAAGGATATTGATAAACAAATACAGTATATAAAAAACTTTGAGAAACATTTCTGAACAGGTCTGAAGTTCAAGGCCCTTGTATTGCTCAAGAAGGGAAAGTGCAATACAATGTTGCACGCCAAGCGCTTGATAGGGTTCTTCGCCATCTTCTGTTGTAGAGCTTGAGGATCATCTTGTTGAGCCACTGGAAGCAAATCACGGCTTTCCTCTGAACTCAAAAAGCGGTATAGACCTGGTCGCTCTTTTGCAATGAAGTCACGTAGGCAAAAGACGACCTCGCCCCTTTTTGGCCTTCCACGTTTGAGTCTTTTCTGATCATCGGCTCAAGTATCTTGCTGTGAAGGCACCGGCACTAATGCAAGTTTCGTGGATTCTACAGAATCGTGACAATGCTCATCGATCTTGCAAATCTCCAGGGAATGTTTCAGCATCAAATCATGACAGATTCTGCAGCTGAGCTCAGCTTCACCAACCAGGGCTTTCTTGAACTCAGTCCAATGACCGGGGGCATTGTAGCCACTGTGTGCTTTTTGAAAGACCTTGTTGTGGTCTATACCGGCATTCTTCAGCATGCTCTTTGCTAAATCATCTGCCCGCTTCTCCTTCTTTTTTTCCTCCCTCAACCTCATAATCTCATCTATTCGAATGTCCATGAAAGCTTTTTTCTTTGCAGGCGACTTGAGATTGAGATCAAATAGCTTTTCCCTCTTTGAGTTCTGATGATCTGGTGTGTGCGGTGAATGGTCCCGCTTCTTGCTAGGCTCTGACTTGATCTGCTCAATGGTCTGCTTCTGCTTCTTGGGAGAAGGCTTGGACTGCTGTTCCTCCTGCTTGGCC